GGAGGGTGACAGAGCAGCGGGGATGATGTCTCAATCCCAGACCCGCAGACCCCCTGCACAGCAGGGATAGTGCCACATGCCTGTGAACATACACTCTGCTCAGTCAGCAAAAGAACAGTTTCAAGCAACAACCCAGCAAATCCTTCCTCTACCCTTGCTCTCTCCTCCCTTCTACTCTTAGACACCTTCCTCCTGCCCCAGGGGGGGACAGCAGAGCCAGGGAATCCCTTTGCCTTGGTGAGCTTTAGCAACCTACAGCAGTCCCATGGCTGCTCCAGGACCAGCCCAATGGTGCCAAAGCCCAGCCTGAGCAAAAGGAACCCCCCCCCCCCTTTAGAGGCTAGATCCAGAAGAGTTAGGTTCCATTGGAAGTCTCCAAAATTTAGTCTCCTAAACACTTTCCCAGCCTCAGGACAACAGCAGCAAAGGGGACCGACCCTCGTGCACCCATGTCACCCTTGGGCACCCTTTATCATCACTCAAAGCCCCCAGTGAGAAACAGAGCACTGGGCTGGGACTGGTTTGCTAAAGCAGAGCGCCAAGCAAGCCCCAGGGCAAACAGGCTGCAGTGCCAGGCACTGTGCAGAAATGGAGGGCAGGCTCAGCTGTGCCCTCCCCCCGAGCTGGGTTGGCACAGGACAACAAAACTTTTAAATTCACCAAATTACTGACAAAACCTCACCTATTTTTACAGGCAACGTCCATTGGACTCTGCTTTTTAGGTCTTCCCAGACAAGCACATTCCCTCTGCAGCGTAGAAAGGGACTTCAAGGCCCAGATTCCCAAGAGCTCACTTAACAGCAAGCTGTAGGGACTGGAGAGACGACAAGGAATTTTAATAGAAGGCAAATTAAGCACTTTATAACTCACTTCCAAATTGATTTATATGGCCAAGGCTGCTCTGCTACCCTTTCACAGAGGAAAGATCCCTAAAGCAAACACTTTCAAAGGACTGATCCAACTCCCCTTGAAATCAGGAGAGGCAAACCCTGCAAGTCAAAGCTGGGGCTAAAACGTTCATAAAAACCTCAAACCCCTCAAAATCACCACTCAATAGATTGCTTCCGCAGTCCCCTGAATCTGAGATGCTGGTGCCTAACGGATAATGCTGAGCTATCAAAACACTAATGTACGTGGAGTTTCTTTATGCCTAGTGAAATGCTGTGCTTAGCATTACATTTTTAAAAGACTCAATTTCTCGGCATTAAGGTTCATTTCAAAGCAAGGAATTTCACTCAGTCTCTCCTGGGACCCCTAAAGCCCTCGTGCTTGTATTCCACCCCCACAGAGGGAGCGAGGGGTGGCGGGGAAGTGCTCAAGCCAAATATTTCCCCCTTCACAGCACGCTGGAGAATGTGCGGTGACACCTCCACTCAAAGGGAAAGGCCTTGTTTAGACAAGACGTGGCAAACACGAGGCCCCTGCCCTGGTGGAACAGCTTCAGTGGCTGGAGGAAGGTTGAATATCAACTTTCAGAATTTGTGGGGAAAAAATATCTGTCCATGGTTTCCATGTAGTTCCAGCCTGAGGCTTTGCATCCCCTGGGGAAACGTCATTCCTTGGCTTCTGACCCACCAAATTGAACTGTCAGATTAAGGAATGGCAAGACAGACGTCTTCAACTAACATTTGGCAGCCAGGCTGAGACAATGTCTCTCCATAGAATTCTCTGATTCCACCATCATTCGAGTAATCTCCCCTTGGAAAAGGACCAGATGAATGTTCCCGTTGCTCAGATGGTTCCAGAAGAAATAACTTGTAAACATCAGCGGAAACTGTGCCAGCAAATACCAAAAGGAAAACTGTACCATTTCAACAACTACTTTGGAGCTGGCTCCAGCAGCGACACTCCAATGAGCATTAAAAATGACCGTATCCGTGCAGCTCCCTGTCCCACCACAGCTGCCAGGGAGCATCGCAACCCTCATGAGGCGCACCTTATTGTGCAGTGCTGTCCCCCACGATGCTGACCTTTCTCCCTAATCCCATCTGGTGATCACGCTGTGCAAGAGGCCTGGTTGCCCTTGACGGTATCATGGCTCACGTAACAGCTGAGGCTGTTCTTACTCATCCTCAACTCGAACCCCTTCTGACCCTCGGGATGTGCTGTGGTAACAGCCAGCAACCCCAAAGTGCCACGGGAATGACTCAGTTGGTCTCAGCGCCCACCAAATCCAAAGCACCTCACTTTTGTGCAACAATTTATAGACAGTTTATATCCATTGATACAATAAAAGGGCTCTTAGATCTTCACTCTGCCTTTCCTTACTACTAGTGCCAGGCAAGTCACAGTCTGCAAGCAGGACCATGCTGTGCATCGCTCCTGAGAAAACTGCATGTCCAGGAGGGGTAGAAGGGCTCAAGTCCTGAAGATGCAGCAATGTTTTGGGGCATAAATTCTACATATCTTCATTGAGAGAAATGCACAGTGGCCCTGTACTCAACCATGTAGACATCAAAAGGCAGCAAAGGCTATAACCCTGCTCTGCAGCCTGGGCAGAGGAATAGACTATGGAAGTGTTGAGTCTCAGATGCTTTCTAGCAATCTAAACTCTTCATTTGAGCAAAGTCACCTCCAGATAGACCTTCCATCTGCACCCCTTACCCACAACATGTGATTTCATCTATAGCTCTCCGCACCTCTGAACTCCAAGCCCTAAAGAACTCTTCCAGGTCAGGGAGCAACAGCGGAAATTCCTCTGCACCCCAGTGCAAAGCTCAGGGGTGAAGGGGCCTCCAGACAGGCTCCTGTGACCACACAGTGACTGGCAACTAGAACAGACCAAGAGGAGGAGGTGTTGGTGCTATTTCAGAAGTTCACCCCAATGCTGTACAGCCACGGGTGAACAGGTTGTCCCTCGGCACAGCTTCTACCCAGTCTCAGTGTCGGCATTTGGTACCCACTAAGAGCCTGATTCTGTCTCACTGCTCAGGTTCTTCAAAGCTTAGGCCTGAAGGATCAAACCTCAACTTACAAATTTAGAGAAGTAGACAGTAAAAAGCATGAATTCAGCCATTTCTCCCTTTAACAGGGATGGAAGCTGTTCATCAAAATTCTGAAACAAATCCCTGAACACGCCTCTTATGAGCTATCCCCAGTGCCAGACCTCTAAGAAGTTATGAAACACACAGGCTACTTAAACCCTTCCTACAGGACATTCATAGCCACGAGCTGCACAAATCCAGCTGGGGAAACGCTACACCAAAGCCCTGCTTCCGGGCCGAAGTACAAAATGAAACAGCAGAGCACGACTGGAGGAGGCAAGAATAAGGCCTGAGATTTTCATGGCCCTCGACTCCAGGCCCTATGGGTTCTGTGCCATCATAACCACATCCCAAATCTTTTCTCCATCCCTGCGTGTAAATCCCATTATTGAGCAGAGCTACCTGGGAGGGTGGAGAGACTGGGCTCTTGGGAACACCATCCCACTCCAGTCGAGGGAGCGGCAAGACAGAGCTCCTGAAAGGCAAGAGTCTGTAACAACTGCCCCAAGCTGCCAGGGCTCCTTAACTCTCCTCTGGCCAGATCTGTGATGTGCTACATGATGCATGGAGCAATTTCCACCCTTGGTATCCAGAAAAGTAGTTCTCAACCTGGGCTGATTAGCCATCACACCAGCCTCCCCATTCGTCCTATAAATCTAGTGCCTTTGATTACATCATGCCAGAAAACTGAAATGGAAGTCAGATGGTGAAGGCATTAATGGCAGCACTGTAAAGGCTCAACAATGCAAACCTTCCCAAAATGAACTGTCTTGACCTTTGCCGGGCTGACAATAAAAGTGTGACATCATGTGCAAACGAGCTTTAAATTTAAACCAGGTGTGGAGAGCTGCCTGGTGTCATGCGGCTGCTGTATAAACCACTGACATGCGAGCAGCAATGCCGGAGGCAGGAGAAACACCAAGCACAGAGAGGACCCACTTGGCAACAAAACCAGGTACCAGCAGCTGGTGTGGTGCACACCGAATTCTGCACTGCACTTGAAAAAGCTGGGCTTTGTGCTATTTGGTATCAGTTCTAGTTGGGGCAAACATTTATTAAGTAAAACATGAATTTGCTGATATTCATTTCCACGTGTGTGAGCATTCATACAGCTCTGGAATCAAGCCAGCAGCACAATAATGAGGGTTTTTTTCATTTAATACTTGTATTCAGAACTCCCTTAGACCTTGCAAAGTGCTTGGGGCTGTGCTCACAGGTTGTCAGTCCCAGCCATTAGAGCATACTGTGATTTACAGCCAAAAATCACGTCCCTACCCCAGAGCCCTTCCAGGGCAGCCATCATCCCTCTACCCCATAACAAAACGTTCTGCCTTCCCCGGCTGACCCTCACCTTGTGGCACAAGGTGGCCCTTCCCAAACTGCCCAAAAGGAGCCGTTTTTCACCCCACTTTGTGCTGCCAGGCCAGCTGGGCACCCACTGTCAGTGGCCCGGAGGCAGGGCTCGCACGGGGCAGCACGCTGCACAGCTACAGCCTCTGACATCTCTTCTGCTGCCTCTCGTTTTACAGAGGGGAGCACAACAGCAGGAGGCAGGTTTGCTGTTGATGAAACCAATACCTGAGAGGACGTCAGCTGCAGTTCTCGCTGGAAAAGTTATTTTCTGCATCCTTTCTGTTTTGGAGAGCATGGATCAAAGAGTAAAATCAAGCACCAAGAGCAGACAGGTCCAGGAGGAGCAATTCATAACAGCTTCCTGGACAACTCGTATCCATTTCGAGCCGGGTGCTGCAAGACATCACCTGCAGAATGAAGCGGGGATCACACAGAACTACATAGATGAAGGAGAGCACATGTAAGTGCACAAATACACTAACACCACCAAACCAGGAATGACTTTTAAGAACAACCCCCTTCCCTGGAAAAAGTGATGCCACTGCCTGAGCTGGGGCCAGCAGGACACTGCTGCATGTCAGAAACAAACTGCACAGACACACTGGGCTATTTCACTAACCAGGCACATTATGCACAAAGCAAAGATGACAATCGCATGAGTTAAGCAAGTACTGTTCTTTATTTTCTGGTTTATGTAGAACATGCCCTGGCTGTTCCACGGGGAATCTGAGGGAGGGAGAATTCAAAATAGGAAATCTGTTGTACAACATACAGGTTTGACATGAGTTAGGCAATTTTTACACACAGATAATTTTTTTTTATAATTCCATTTCCCCATGAGGCATGGTTGGATGATCACTACTGAAACACAAATACAAAACCCACCACCATAAACCGTAAAAATTAGGCAGCACTTGTAATACTGAAAATTCTTTCCCATTGGCAGTCATTAGGAAGGAGCAGTAAACGTGTCCAAAGGTTTTTCAGTATGCAGAGCACCTACAACTAATGTTCAACATTTTCAACATGAAAGTCAACAGTAAAACCATAGTTTCAGGTAAAGCGAATTAAGAAAGGAGTTATACAATAATCAATGTTACTTTAGCTCCTGGACTGATCTGAATTTCAAACTTTAATTAACACTGGGATGCCACTACAGAACTAAGATTAATTTTCATCTCCTTAAGTAGGGACACTTGGAAACAACTGAATTAATCTTCAAGTATTTGTAGTGATGCATTGATAAGTACGCCCATCTCTATTTTTTATAGAAATGAGAGTGTAAGCCACATGCAGCCCGTGGGCTGCTGAATCGGCAGGACTCTGAATTCTGAACCTCCCTTTGGCTCAGGAAGGGCTTGGGAGCTGGCCTGCCAGAGGGGGACACCTCTGTGGTAACGGGGACATTGCTGACACTTCTATCTAGAACAGACACATTTCTGTCCCCTCGTCACATGTAACACTGAATGTGCTCATGCTAATGAAAGCGTTTCATGTTCTTCACAAATAATCCTTAAAATTAAGGAATTTATCTGAAATGAGACTGGCCATACTGGGTCATGCAAAACACCCACATCAGTCCACAAACCTGCTCTACTTCTGTCCCAAGAGATGCCCATGGAGCCTCCAAACAGGCAAGCGGGGCCTGAGGGCTGCTCTGCATCCTCACAGTCCCCATGGACTACTGCTGCTGGAGCACTGGCTTCCAGAGCCGTACCAAAACGGCACTTTGCACAGCATGAGAAATACACTAAAGTACAAGCCTGTGTTCTCTCATGGAAACAGCGTGCTTGTGAGCTACTCAAGGATTTAACGTTTGCCCTAGCAGCTCCATCAGAGAGATCCCATTGCACCATCGTGTTTTCATCCTCACGAGGAGGGTTGCAAGGGTAGGAAATACCAGCACCCTGAGCATGATACAAATAATTTAAGAACTCCAAATCAACTTTGCAACATGGAAAGACTGCTAAGATGTGACCACATTCAAAACTGAAAATTCTTACACAAACAAACAAGGTGGGCACACCAAAAAGGTCAGCCTAGGCACAGCACTGACCTCCAGCGATGAGCAGTGGTGGGCACTTAGGGAAGATAAGCCTGCCAGGCACGGATCCAGCAGCGCTTTCCCTGACCTGTACCCTCTCGCCCAGGTTGCGCTCCCCGTAACAATTGCTCAGACTGTCAGCTAAGGGCACACTCCAGCTCAGCCCTATCTAACTGACACCGATGTAAAAACTGAAGGGGAAGGTGAAAGGAGGGACAGCAAGAGGATAGGACAGTTTCAGTGTCTCAATTTTCATTGTATGGGTCACGTGAGAGAATTTTAAACAAATATTGCCATGAAAATCAATATATCAAGATACAAACTGCTTAGAAACACAGGAATAAAACATGAGCATTTCTCACAAAGACAGGTTTATAGCACTTTTGTTTTGTGGTACTCGTTCCTACAATGCTGTTTACAAAAGACACTCTCCACACCCAGCTTACCACTGTTCATCTGAAATCTGAGCAGCCTTCAAATGGACAAGGAATGGAAATAGGAGAAAGAGAGAAAACAAATCAAAGGCAGCCAATTAATTATCATCTCTTACATTGTTGTTCTTGTTCAGCTGGGGAAAGGCAGCCTTTCCAAGTGAGTGCAGAGATGTTGTGGGCCCCTTCACCCATTCCTGTCAAGTCTTCAGAAAAGAAGGTTGGAAAATGCTAGCTACAGGTAACAAAGCAGAACCACTGAAACTTAAAAATCTGGAATTTTTGGGAAAAAAAAAATCTGTACACAAGAATAAATATATTTAGCAACTGTGAGCAGAGAGTTCCAGCTTGGGGGCCTGTTTTGTTCCAAAAAATTCATGCTAGTGCACAACTGTAGTGAAACCTTTACACAGACACCATGAGCAATCTGTGGGAGATGGGAAGGATAAAGAGTCTCCTTATTCTGCTTTTTCATTGTGGAAAACCCAACTTTTTCTAGATTTGGAAACAGAAGTTCTTTCTGCCCCTCTCTCCATATTTTAAGTTATGTGTCATAGAACTGTAAAAGCAGCAGTATTTCTAACTCTTTCTCAGATGAAAGATACCACACATTCTGTCAGCCCCTGTGCTGCGATCCTTTCTGCACCACAGCTAAATGTAGTAATAGAGCTCCAGCAGAGGTGTGAATAGCTTCCATTCATCCTCAAGGAGAATTAACCTCACTGGCATTCATCGTTCCAAACTCCACCTATTAGGATAGCTGTTTTCTAGCCAAGCTAGTTAGGATAATACTTAGGGATGAAAAATATTACATGTAGTGATTTCCATAGCATTTCAGGAATCAACTGTAAAATTAACAGTGTACATCAGGTATTTTCTCAGTCACATTTTTTAAGACAACGCACACAAACCCAAGTGCCTGTGTACAAAGAGAGCCTTACAGTGCAGGGCAAGAGTGCTTTTTCAGGGGGAGGAGGAAAAAACAAAAACTTAGTAAAAAAGTCATCACCTTTCTGCACCTTCACAGATAATCTGTCTCCAGTGTCAAATCTTGCTGGTTAGAGTTTAAAATAAAGTGACTGCAGTGACTACAAGTATTACTCAATAGTACGCTACCAGAGAGTATGATAAATGAGAAACAATTTCCATAAAATTTCTAATAAATATTCCTCCTAAATTCTAGTGTCTGAAAAAACCCTACAGTTCATTCACATCAGTGTAAGGTCTCCCGTTTTCATAAAAAGTTTTGGTTCAGTCAGAAAATCACTTCCTGATGTACAGCTGTCATTGCTTTCTCAAGGTACACTTTTATGAGGTAAGTACTTGGCTTTTTACACTACTTTTTAGACTACTACAATATGCTGAGTGGCTGAATCCCTATAGCATAATGAAGCCTGGGAAACACAGCTATTCAAGGGGAGCCACAGGCAGGAAGGCAGCTACATCTGGTTATCAGGAGTTAAACAAGTTGGGAGAACTGCAAGAATAAAGGCGAGATGAGGAGCCTCAACCATAAATACTCACACGATGCTGACAAAGCCCGATCCATCCCTTGATCAAAGGATTTCAGAGACCTCTCAACTGAGAGATCCCCTGTGAGCACACACACACACTTCAACCTGCTGAAGCAAAACTGCTGGGAAAGTGTGAAGTTTTATGAGAAAAATGTGCTATCTAATGGCTGCTGCTGCTCAAAAAGGCAGTCCCACTCCTACCACACCCCTCACTTTTCTTGTCCCCTAAGTGAACTCATTCAGTTCCTTTTTTTTTTGGCAGAAAAGGTGTCACACCTTGCGATCACGTTGGTTTTCTGCTAGTTAAACACGCCGGTCATGAGCCACTGCCACTTCTGGCCAAGAGTGGAAGTGCTCTTTCTGCTACTGACAAACTATTAGATGGCTCACCTTGTGTCATAAAACTTCTGCTAGAAACTTTATTATAAAATAAACTGTAGTCTTTTCCAGGGATCCTACCAAAACTACGGAGTTAGTGCCCAGGCCCCACTGCACATGTCTATTTCTATATTAAACTCAGAAGTACAAGAATATTCCTGAGGCAAATAGGATTCCTGAAGCAGTACCAAGCTGCACCACCCGGGTGCCTTCAAGCCAGCTATCAAAGATGAAAAGTAACTTATGGATCCCGAGAGAGCTGAGTGATCTGCTGTCATCCTAGTTTGAGAGTTCAGGAACAGAAAAGATGATTCCCACTCTGCTATTTGCTGTTTCTCCCTATTAGACAGGTGAGGATCAAGCACATTCAATCAGGGTTACGTTAAGGTTGGCACATCAATCAGCATTTCCCAAATCCCATGTGACAATTAAAAAGGTTAACAGCACAGCCCCACTGCTGAGAAGTTAGAAATGCCAGGCTCTGGGGCACCGCCCCTATCTCAACTGATAAGGTGTAAGTCAACACATTAACAGAACTGTCTCAGCAGGACTTTCTAGCAACAGTCAACTAATTTGCTAACTGTGCACATTACAGACTGAAACATTAAATAAATGTCACTTACTAGCTGCTTTCATATTAGATAGATGTATTACTTCACTCTGATTCACTTGTGACTACTTCTACTTCTCAGATATAAAAGTGCTAAGCTAAATTAAAAGAGATAATGCATCTGGAAATAATGAAGAATTTTCCCACTCTCTGAGGCTGAGGTCTAACTTCTTAACTTTACAGAAGCCATTTCTGTGGAGGCTTAGTTTCCTTAGGGCATAAAGTTTCTGAAGAGATTAGGCTATTTTAAAGACATAAGATCCCATCTGATAGAAACAAATTTTAAAAACCTTATCACGGTATCAGCCACTGCTTTCATTCTACTAATGAAGAAATTTTGTGGTGAGCACTCAATACCATATTTAACAGAGCCCAGTTGGTGTTCAAAACTGCATTCACATTTCATGCAAAAAAAAGGTACATGGAGGTTTATAGAGATCGGATATAAAATTACTGTTCCATAAATGTCAAGTTTCCTTTGTCTTCAACAGAGGCAGAATTTTACCTTTCAAGCCCAAACCTTCTCTGACACACAACAGTACATAAAATACAAAACCACTCTATTTCAAATACGAAAAACTTGTAAAAATGGGAATAAGAGAAAGAAAGGGGTCTTTCACTGGGAGGAATACTGAGGTACACTGGATAATATTCAAAAGTAGATATTAATTGAAAAAATGTCTATTAACAATTGAAAAAGGGAAATACTTCCTAATGCTACTAAAAGCTACTATGCTAGGTGGGCAAAGCCTTCTAATTTAAAAATTACTTCAGTATGATTCAAGTATAGTGAGGTATAAAAACTGTATTTAAAAAAATCCAGCAATTATAATCATGATGTGCCCATTAAACTGGGCTAAGGTGGTTGGTTTCTGGATCCATGTTAGGATGTTAGGGTAAACATTTGGAATCAGAAGTTCTTATTGTGAACTGGCTGAAAGTTTGGAAATCATTCAAGCAATAGAAGTCTTTCACAGTTTACATGCACACAACATAATATACACATCATGACTAATGTGTATCTACCCATCTCATTTGTCTTTAGAAGAGAAGTTATTCCAAGGTTCTGCTTTTGTTCACCATGTGCACTAAACCATTTTTGCATTGCATAAATTCTCAAGAGACCTTTTTACCCGTCATGATTACATCATTAAAAACTAGTATTTTAGAATGGCAAAGACTAATTGTCCAACAACTGAAGAAGGTGACTTAAGATTAAAGAAGGAACATCACTAACACAGCGAGAAAGAGTGATTTCTTCCGTAGACAACTTTGGTCAGTGTTTTCTTCAGGATGTCCAGCATGCATTTCAGCAGTTTTGATACATCTCTGGTTCTTGCTGTCCTTCTGAAGCTCAGTTCAGACAGTGACAATAGGCTGTTATTGATCAATCCAATTGAAAATTATTAGAACTAAACTGAGAAGGCCAACACAAATGCCAAAAATAACCAATGCACATGCCTGTGAAGAAAGAAAAGCAGAAATTAATGTTTTCCTGAAGGAAATATTTTACATTTCTAAGGCCTATTACTAATGATGAAAAACCCTGCATGAATAGATTTAAACAGTGTCCTTAAAAATAATCTTTAATGTTTCAAATTACTCAGTCGTCAAACACAAGATATCTGCTTAGGGGGAAACTAAACAAAGCCTGCTCTGGGATAGTTTCATTGGGAACTCTCAGAGCAGTCTAGTGTGCTTGCTCACACTATCTGTCAGAAAAAAAATAAAATCATTTGCTCTTTACAAATCTGAATGAATTAAGAAATTTAATTTGTATTTTACTCAAAATAAAATTAAAGTTACAATGGATTCTTTACATTTTTGAACAGCCAGATGATCAGATGATAATCAAACTGCAGTTCAAAAGACAGTAGCTTGCTGATTTATAACAAGGCCCCAGATCTGTTGAAAGTAGTCCAGACATTAAATGGTCAGAGAGCATCATTATTAGATTTTCTTTCAGATTCCTTATTTTGTCAATACAAGAGCAGCCCTAAGAATGGCAGAAGGACTATATGTAAACAGTTTGTCAGCACTTTAGCCATTGTCATGAAGTTGCTGTGCTAAGCAGCGGTTAAAATGAAGACAGTCACAGTGCAAAAAGCAGGCTGATGCATAAATTCCAGTTAGGACTAAAAAGGAGAAAAAGAGGAAGAGGCAAAAAAAAAAAGATGTTTTTGAGAAAGCTTACGTAGAGAACAAGCATAAACACTGTTTCACTTAAATGCAGTTTGGCTTTGTCCCAGCTGTCCAGACAACATCAGAGTAACGCATAAAAACTGAGGAGAAATTGGATTAAAAGTCAACATCTGAAAACTATAGGGAAAAGCATGTATTCAGATCAACGGTCCAGCACATGGACATACTGCTAGTCAAAAAGATCTTGTGAAGGAGTTTCAGAAAGACCAGATCTATCATGAAGGATAAAAGAAAATGCTCGCAGATTTTGTGAACTGCAATGAAAACAAGAACCTTGCCCCTTTGATTATGTGCTCTACGGTGTATTAAGATGCATCTAAAATGAGCCTGTTTAAATACAATTAGCACACATGAAAAAAAAAAAAGCATACCCCAAGCTTCTGTAGTGATAAAAAGTCCTCTCTGCTAAGTTTAAGATAAAATAGTCCAGGATATATGAAAAGCAAACACGTTGATGTGGTTGAACCTTTAAAAAACAGAAAGTAAGATTTTACTTAGAGCAAGATGAAAGTATATTAATTTATGATAATAGTGATTTTTGTTTTAAGAAAATTTAAGAAAAACAACCACCACAACAACTTACCAACTACTCCAAACACATTCTTAATGTCCGGCACGTACATTGCAAACAAAACAACAATTGTATTCAGTGTTAAAGTGACAAGTATATGGCAAATCCATGACACAGGAAGATGGGAGAAAAATACCATCAATACAGCTTTCCTTGCCTGCATAATATGAAGAGAAATACTGCATGGGTAAATACATACATATACATATATTTTAATCTTATCTCAACTTCATAACCTTAAGAATTACATCATTCCAGATGTGAAAGAACATTTTAAAATTTAAAAAAAAAAAATCTAGGAATAAAATGTTTTGCCTTTCTGTAGCACAGTTTACTATTAAAGCAGTATTTATCACTTGGCCATTAGTCTTAAGGAATTATTCATTTTTTTGAGAGATAAAAGAATGTCTGGGGGATAATGCTCTGTCTCTTTGAGCATGCTTGGTAGCAAATGTCAGCATGTTACCAACCGATACGTAATCTATATACTAGTTCTATATATGTAGTTTTTCATGCACAACTTTTTTTGGTCCTAACTGAATGAATTTTCAGTTCTACCACGGTACTGATAAACTCAAGTAGGGTTTTTTTGTGAAATAGGTCAATATGTGTTTTTAATTTACAATTAAATTGAGTTTTAGAGTGTAAGTGTATTTGTGTGTGGGTGCGTGCATGTAGAAAGGAAAAACCAAGTCAGCAAAACTCAATTTAAGAGGGGGAAAAAAAACCCAAACTAAGTAAACTTTAGAAGTTCTGAATTCTCTAAATTAAAAACAATGCTGTGGGCTAGTTTAATCTGAAATCTGTCTCAAGAGCACAAATTAGCTTAGTGGTTGGTTGTTATTTTGGAGCTTTCATGGAACATATGCAAATATGTGGTCTTTGATCAATCGCTTGACAAGTGAATAAGATACACAAGACTAGATGTGACTCAAATCCTACAGTCTGCAAAGCATTAGCATTACCACTGTTTACTGCCAGCTTCAAAGTGTTTAGGAGTACTCACTGGGAAATGGATGAGAGGGACCGTCAAAAGCACAGCAAACAGGATAGCTACTTTAACAGTCATGATGACAGTATCATGTGGCAGGTACCTGCTGTAACCTTGTAGCAACTCAGAGTCCACTTTGTCTGAAAACAAGAAAAATTAATTGCTTTGTTAATCATTTGAGAAGGAAGATAATTAGCAACTCACATTAAGCTTACATTCAAATTGATCAATTTGCTTGTGACTAATGAGTGGAGGGAAGTTGCAGACACACATCACTGATACACTGGGATACATAACCTCAAGAAAACTGAAAAAACTTCAGGAGGCAAGTCTCTGTAGAGCTTCTGCTGAAGCCAAAGCTACCTAAAGAGAAGATACAAATACGAAGGAGAAAGCATTAAAAAGAAAGATGATGTGACATGAAGCCAAGTTTGCAGTAAAACTTGTTCTATGTGGTTGAAACAGTCAACACTAGATTCTTCTGGTCGAACTAGAATCCAGAAACAAATTCGTTTTGGCAAATTGGCTGAATTGCATTTCCCCTTTTTTCCCCCCCAGCAATGTTAAATGACATGCAAGGTAAAATTTCATAATTTGGAAGAAAAGCTGCAATTCTGATTTCAAGGAAGAAAGAAATGTTCAAAACTACACTAGCATATATGTTTTTACTGGGTATAGTTAGCAATATATTGCTAGATGAGAGGGAGAATGATAACTGGCATCTGTTAAACTTCTAAATAAGATCTCTTGTTTAAGAAAAATAAAAATGAACAAAACTATTGACAATTGAAGACTTATTTTTCTCTATGCCAAATGAGTACACAAGTGCAACACAAGGACACCTAAAGGCTTTCAGTCTGGATTCTCACAGCACCCAGAGAGTAACAGAGGACTGCACTGGCAACACACTCAACCAGGCCTGTGATGACAGCTCTGTGTTCTTCAGCACTACGAATCTCATGTGCTCTCCACCACTATTTAGCTTTGCAAAACCGACTGTAGTACTACAGAATTACCTCAGTACTGTACACCATGGATATGCCATCGTAAGTGTTATTTTCATACTATTCAAGGTAGAAGTGGGGCAAAAAAAGGTGATGAATCAGTGATGAACCCTTCACCTTTTGATTTCTGCCCTCCTAATGAGAAATTTTTCACTAAATTAACAACAAAAGGCAGAGCCATGAAAGTGGCCTGCTACCCTGGCTGTTTTTCAGCATACCTTGACTCCATGCTTTTCTGGACTTCAGAATGGATGAAAATTTCCACTAAAGTCCAGTTGCCACATGAAGTTTAAAATTCACAGAAAAGAGAATAAGCCATCTGAATCACAGAAAGATGAAGTATGTCTCATTTCAGAGAGGGAACTCGTTTTTTGTTTTCAATTTAAAATAAATGGTTTACATTTTCTCAGACTGCTGTTTTAGGAACAGGGAACAGATTCTCTCTATTTAAAGAAGTTAATTAAACAAGACAACCAAAAAGTGAAAAAAAGAGAAGCAGCTTGCAAAGGAAGGGGGGGAATTTCTTACAGACACCCACTGTTGGTTCCAGCATTTTAGGCTCTCAAGTCTAAGTTACTAAAAGAAATCAGGCTTGCAGAAAACCAGAAACATCCCAGTGAAACAGACTAAAAAGGCTAAGGTCAAGACAGGGTCTAGTCCCAAAGAAATTATGACAGTGAATGTAACAGGAACTGGGATGGTTTTGAGGACTGCTACTGGGTTTTTTGGGGTTTTTTTAACTTCTTGTTGAGATCTCATCTGGAGACAGATGGCTATCCCACACAGCCTGCTGAATCTCTCAGACTCTCACAGTGGTAATCAAAATTGTATTTTCCTACAAACCACACAGAGACAGTAATAGTGGCCTATATGCTATTATGGGTTTTAAGATTCCCTATATAATTTTTCAAATGATTTTGAGTGTCAAGGGTACATTTTCAGACAGTTACGGGGGCAAAAGGTGCAAAGCTCCCTAGAAATCTGGAATTATTAGCTGCTGAAAGTCAATATTCTTGGTGCCTTGTCAGACACTATCTCAACTCCACAATCAAGAAATATAAAACACGCTAAAAGGAGAGGAAATCCTAATCAGAACACTTTTGTCTTACTGCCTTACTGCCTCACTGCCTCTTACAAGAATTTTTATTTACTCCAATCCACACAGGTTAGCATATGATCATCTTATAAAAAGGGTGAGCTTTCAGAAGACATTTGAAGAATTCTAATAAATGACTGTGATGCATTTATGTGACATTTGTATGAAACTACTCCAGAAGACAGCTGACCAAGCAGAGGTGACTCAATTTGACAATGTGTGCTAAGTGAGCAAAACACACCATAACACAAATTTATAGCAGGATACACAGAGCCAAATGGCTTTTCTTAGAAAAGGCATCAAACTGTGATGTTACATGACAGGATGCTAAAATTGCTATATGAAACAGACACTCACCTACTTTTGCCAAGGTTATGATGGACCTTTAAAAAAAGGCCACTATGTAGGTAAGAGTTCTGAACTGTGTACTTGGGAAATGCAACAACACCGGACAGACAAAGTTATCTATCTTTAAACTAAAAAAAAAACACTGTACCCAGAAGTATTCAAAAGTCCGAATGCAGAGTTATTAAACTGGTACGGAAGCACACTGCCACATAAACTGTACCGCAAATGAAAGATGTCTGTAGAATTTGGCAGAGCAAGTGTCGTACCCCACCCACTTTTCTGTTTGTTAAATAAAAAAGGTATATTTACTTCATTAAGCACCATGTCAACAACATCTCTAAGAAATGTGCATTTCTTGGTTCAGTTCATGTACCAAACAGATACCATCTCTGGCTCAGGAACGGCATGCAACACAAATTACTGAAGACCAGAAGCATGTACTCAAAACTCAAAGCTTTCCTTTTAAATTTTTAAATCCTTTCCTCGTCTTATTGCCCTCTGCTGAAGTCAAGACACAAAACTAGATGGGCACTTTCTCTGATTCAGACCATCTAATTTTCTGAAGTTTCTCATCAATTTTCTTCAGGAGTCCTCTAGTTTGTCTTTACATTACCCATAAACAAAGGTATCATGAAGAAGTCACTTTGTGCAATCCTTTAAAATAAAAAAACTTAATAAATTGGATGATTCATGAAAAAAAAATTTCCACTTCCAGCAGATTTCTAGTGAAATAGCTAGTGTTAGCTCCAATTAATTTGTAAAAATACAAAACCAAATCAGAGCTGCCATACATGCTTTGTACCCAAGCTGTATCAGACAGGGAAAACATGCTGCAAACCTTCACGCCCACCTAACATTAGGACTAGCTTGCTGTGGGTCAAATTCCCCTCAGAAATGGCAACAGCCTCAGTGCTCTCAGTGCCTAGAGACTACAAATGTGCTGGGATATTACAGGGTTCATAAGTGATAAATGTTGCTAGAAGACATAGCCTCAGAACAGACCTTTCTAATGTATTGGACAAGCAGGCTATTATCAGATCTCAAAATTTCTCGGAGACCATGATAGATCTGTGCCCAGCTTTTAAGTGAAAATATTATACAGTCCAACACATAGTGGCAGTGAGTAGTCTAATTACACAGCATTAGTGAACATCAACAGACCATCAGCTAGTTTAGGAACTAGCATCTTGTCTATATAGCATTTTAGGGCATAAACCCTGCAAAGTTTAGCGACATTACACGTCAATAAATCAACGAGACTGTAATACTTTGGAGTGTTAGGCGCATTCGTAAGTCTTCACAGGAACAAGATATCTGAGGATTCAAGTGTATCAAAGCACAAACAAACCTCAGGTACTCCAGACAGAATACGTTTATCAGTTATTATTAGACTTCATTCTAAAGAATATACTTGAAGAATATACTTACCATAAAATGTCAGGTACCCAAACAGAGCAGACATAAAGTAAATTAGAAAACTCAGACCAATTCCTGTAACAGTTACATTCTGCATTCTACGTTTGGATGGACTAAAAGGTAAAAACCCCAGAAAATTAGTGTTACTTAATCTGTATTATGGACTATTAAACACGATACATTTTATATAGCACCTTGCCTTTCATAAGAAAGCATTGTCTTAATTTATGTCCACAGACTATTTCCTGAGGTCTGTGCTGTTAGTAATATTTAGGCTTTTAAAAAGTATTTTTAATCTGGTAATGAAAAGGCACTTTTCATGCAGACAGCTAACATTGTTCCCATCTTGTAGGGAATTCAGACATACCAGAGTATCTCTTAAATCAAAATTTTGATTTATACACAATATATTCAGAGCCAGGAACAGAATCTGGGTCAAAAATACCCCACTGAATCAGACGTGGTCAAATGCAGATTCAGTTACAGCAATAAAAATTAACTAGTTAAGTACCTTAGCAAATGACTTTTTTTCTCCAGATTGTCCAGGCCAGGACAATGTACTGACATTGATGATGGAACCTTATTTGCTACTTTTCTCTCCTGTAAGAGAGGAAAAGCCAGTACAGACTAAAACTGTACATCTCCCAAAAGCATACAAACTATTTAGTTTGCATTGTTTGATGGCACTGACTTGAAAATAAAAATGATTCAAGATTACTTTAGAGAAAATACTACACAAACACTATAATTATATTTAATATTGCAGATGTTTTCACACATTACCTTTGGAGCTCACAATAGATGGGTAAGACTGAGGTATGGCAGAGAAAAGAGAAGGCCATAGTTGGTATCGCATAAGCACTCTAAAAGAAAAGAAAAAAACCTTGTAGGTTGTTTGTTATTACAGATGGTTGGAAAAATATCTGGATGAATTCAGAATTCAGTTCAAGCATTGGAAATCAGTGGAAATCTTTCCACATTAATGCTTTGACATAAATCTCTACAACACAGAATGGCATCTCTGAATCATTTCACAAAAAAATAGACCTTTTCAACTAGTATCTCTTCAAGTGGCGGTTGTAACTTACTGTTTCATGATCAGGAGAGGTCATGCTGCCTATAAGCCAGCTACTGAAAGATTCTTTTTTAGCTATACTGAGGCCAAGTACTTGGGGAAAAAAAAAATAAAAAAAATAGCATTTGCCCCAGAAACAGTGTATGATTCATGAAATTTTTCTAAGAAGTTTTCTACATTCTAATAGCCATAGCTACCTGTCAAATTACCAGTTCCTTCATCCCGACATTTTCTTATTACTCCTTCTCAAAAATTTTATACAGCATCCAAAAAAAATATAACATGCTTTGACATCTAAAGTTTTAAGACAGCTATATAATTAAAGTTGCAACCATGCAACTAGTGGTGTATTATTCCAAAAACTTGTAATAGAAGAGATGAATCATCTACTATAGCTTACTTCAATTGCCAAGTGGAATAAGCTGAACTATAACAAACACTTTTGTGCTGACATAATCAGGCCCATACTGGTAAAAATATGCCACTTTCTACTGATAAAGTTAAAATTAAAAAAGAAGTAGAGCTGAGTCCCAAGATTCTTCAAAGCACAAAAGGCCAGACCTCACAGTAGATGTTTCTGGTCAAAGCAAAATTTCTTCTTTGATCTACAGATAACATTTGTCTCATGTTTGCATTGCCCAAGCTTGCTTCCCCCCCACCCCCCCTTTTTCTTGGGGAGGTGGGGGTGTTTTTTTTGTTTTTCAGACAAACGCAACCAACTGTGTCCCTCCTAAATTCCACTACGCTACAGGCCTATCCCAAATTTATTCTTCCCTTCTTCACACCACAGAGACTGGAGTTCTACTACAACTAGAGCTCTCCTGTAAGCCTTGATGTGTAGCGACATGATTTAAATGCCACATCAATTAACAAATACCAAGCTGGCATCCAATGAAATGCACAAGATTGCATTAGGCCTGAAGAATTAGCTTCAGGTAAGAAAAAACTAAGTTTAGGTCCAGGCAGTTTCAGGAAACCTGTTCTACCTTGCCAGGAACTAGAAGTGTCCATATAGCCAAGTAGCATTGACTTCCAGCTGAGAGCATATTAAGTTGGCTTGGTCCGACTGCATCATGAGGCTGACCACTGCTGCATCTGTTATGCTTTATACTTCAGTCATATTTGCAAAATGTTTTCATAAATGCTAACTTGGACAGCCAGCCTTCATATAAAAAAGAAAGAGTGAGACTGGATAACACTTGGCAGCAGGTATAGGAAATATTTCAGCAGCCTATAACTAGTTTTACAGAAGAATAGCTTACCCTGCATAGAGTTTAAACCCCAATTCCTTAAAAACCACCACCCCCTTTAAGTTTGCATACTGTTAATAGAGATTACCTCTTTTGAAAGATGAAAGAGCTTTGCTTTACAATCCTCAGTAGAATTTGAAACCTGTAAGACATGCATGCAAGAAAATGGCATAACAAAATAAGCCCAAACCACAGACATGAAACTTTTTAGATTGTGATGATTACAAAAAGAAGGAATTTAAATTACAAGTCATTCTGAAAGTGCTAATGTAAAAAAGCATTACAGTTACTAATAAAATTAGAACAACTTCAAAACAGTGTGCACTTTACCTGTAAAGTCTCTATGGCACTACTTAGAGGTAGAGGACAAGGGATCGACCACTTTTTAATCATGATCTGCAAAGACAGCATATTTAATGTATGAATGATACCCTAAAGATCAGTTTAAATTAGGTGTACGTAGCTAAAATATCAGACAGTTGGTATACAAAGCAACACCCACATGGGAGCTACACCCATAGTAAATTAACAGGCTTGACCAATAGTTAGGCCACAAGAAGGAAACTTGACAGAAAAACTTGTCAGTGCCATTCCATCCAGCTGCTCACTATGCACAGCTGGCAGCCTTATGGTCTGCTTATCTGGAGGTGGTGCACTGAAATGAGCTCTGACATTAACTGAAATACAACCAGCACTCCGCATTCACTCTCTCTGTGCTCCACACTAACTGCCTCCCGTACAGAATAGCTGCTGTGTTAGCTATCCCAGGCTCCTTCCCCGAGTAGACAAGCTCTTAACAGAGATAGAGCAGAGCCTAGGGCTAATCTTAAAAGGCAGAAACATATGGTTTGGACTAGAAAGCAAAGGAAAAACAATAAATGCAATTATTGTCCCAGAATGTCATTGGGGCTTTAGCTACACCCTGCTGGTTTAGGGACTGCCAAGTAACAGGGCTGAAAATCAAAGGGAAATTAATATAAGAAATGTTACCTCCTTTTTCAGGAGCCTAGTTTAAAGTGATAGTTGCATTGCTCTCCTCACCCTAATTAATTTCCTATTGTAGTTGCCTGGCTTTAGAGTTTATAATTCTTTTGAAGCCTAGAGCAAATAATTAAAAACTTAATTAAAGACTCAGATTCATAAGAAGAATAACATGGAAGAGAGCGCTTCTTTTGGCTCAGAGAGCTACTTTTTGCTTGCAGCCAAGTGGTGTTTCCCAGAGGAAAGGATTAGATGCTCCCTCTTGTCACCAGTGCCAGGAGAAGCAAGAAATGCTACCTCCAGACAAAATGTGGGGAAACTGCAGGTACTTGGCATGCTGAGTCAATTGTGGCAGTAACACGCGTCTTAAACCGCATGACTAAGAACTCACAACAACTGAAGGTATGCCACTAGGTAGTAGCTTGCTCAGTAGCAGTCTGCACACTTTGTGAAAAAGGATTATCAATGGAAATCCTCTTTCTGACATTAAACTGGCACTGCTTTATCCCAGGAGGTCTGTTCTTACCTGCTTATTTCATTGGCTAAACTGCCTCCCTCCACACAATGTGAACTGCAACCTCATCTGAGGAAGGGTGTGGGAAGGGACAAGAACGTGCTGGTAGTATATCAAGAGGTTCAACTGAAGAGCAAGTAAGGGAGAAGCAGGAAGGGACCGAACACTAAATATCTGATTTGGGCCTGTATCGTACGTAAGCATGACTGTCACGTGGGTCACCCCTGCTTCATCCCTTCCGTGAGCGCCCCGAGCAGCAAGAAGCTACGAGCTGAGACCCCGACACACATTGCTGGTGCTGGAGTGCCGCAGCCACGCACCCATGGATGTGCTACCTCCCGGGGAAGCCCAGGCTTGTTGGCTAGCTCAAGACATTTATAAGGCTGAGAAGAAGGCCAAGTGTTTTTTTAAGGAGATCTCTGTGTATTTAAAGGCACCCAGATAGCAGAAATAAAGGAGATGCTTTGAAGGCTCCAACGCAGGCTTTGTGGGAAGTCTGGCTAAGGTTGGAACAGGCTTCCTGAGCAACGAAAAGGGGCATGAAGCTAAAGAGCAAGCTTTGGGGAAAACAAAGTGTGCCTGGCAGTGGCAGAGGCAGGGTCTCCTGCAAGCTAAAGAGCAAAGACATACATAAACACTGCAGAGGGAAGTCAAGACAAGCCAAACCTAAAACACTGAAGAACATTCTTCTCAAATTAAATTAATACAGATTAAGACCAGATTGAAATGGAAAGAAAAGGAGAGAAAATGCACTAGGTGCATTTAAAAAATCTGTAATTATATTTGCCCACATGCTTAATTACTCAAAATCTGTTTGGGTTTCCAATTGTAGTCTAATGAGGTCCCCCCCAACAGGACAAGATTTTTAAACTGGCAGCACAGCCCAGTTAGCTGAGCAGTCATGCCCGCAGCACAAGCTTCCTCTGGAACTTTAAAGCCTATTTCATATAAACATTTTGAGTATAACAAACATGTTGGTTTAAGTGAAAATAACCTGAAGAGAGATTCTTGTTGAAATAAGGTATTTTAAACCCACACCAAAACATTGCTAAAACATAAAGTTAGAGGCTCAAAATGTTCTAACATTCTTAGTCATGCCGCTTTTTCAGATCTGCCGAGTGAAAACAGTAATTTCCTTATTCCAGCTGTACTGACAGCACTCAGCAAAGAGGGTCTCTCTGTGCATAACATCATTCGTTACATGTGGCAGGTTCCCAATCTGCCTTACATTTTGTTCTGGGAACATAAACAAGAGATTTAGAAAAATACCATCAGGAATCATTAACACCTTTGATGAACAAGCTACCAACAGGGCTGTCTCCATGAAAAAAGAAAAATCTGTCTTTTCACCAATATTCAATATAGCAAGAAGGGAGGGCAATAAAAAAAAAAATTAACGATCACATTTAGTATCTTTTTGCTTAGGATTCAAGTCAGGGAAGTATTCAACAATCAGAAACAAAAATTGCACAGGACCTCACAGAATCTGGCTTTGCGTTAATAGTTACATATATTTATTTTCCTCCCAGATCATCTCATCTCCGTGTTTCCACTTTTTTCCAAGTGAGGACTACAACCCGTATATCAGCTTTAAAGGAAAAGATGCTGAAGCACAAAGAGGAGATACATGACCTGCCAAAGCCCTACAGCAGAGCACAGAGAACAAAGAGTAGTCTCTAGACCTTTTGCTCCATGAACTCACTAGACCATACTGACCAAGACATACACTGTCAATTGTCTCTATCTTTTCTGCAGGCCATATTAAACCTGTGGCTTGCTGGCAAAAAGCTGAACAGATGGTACGGACTTGAAAATGCACAGAATTATTGTATATGCAAAATATAATTGTATTACTTCCATATGACTAACACAGTTTTCTTCTGGAACAAATTAAAACATATCTGCCATACAGAAATTAACAATGTGCAAACTAAAACACCATTTCAACAGCACATATCAACCACTTCAATTAGATATGAAAACTAATCCACAGTTAATGCATTTGAGTTTCAGTGCCTAAAGAAGTCAGAGAGAACATTCTGTGAAGAATACTAGTTTTCTTTAAATATCCGTAATGGCTTTTAAAAATTTTGACCTCAATTAGATTTACCGTGGCTGTTTCTTTGTCCTTTAACAACAAAGACTAAGCATACAAACGTAACCATTTTGTAAGAAATCTGTTAGTCTTTGTACTCCTTCATAGTACTTTGACTACTTTTTTTATAGAGAATCAAAACTAAACCAATTCCAGTTTGACACGTCTGCACACCAGTCTTGCTTACACACTTGTCTTTGAGCCCAAAATTGTTTTCCAATGTATCCACCTATTACAACACCTTTCTTCAGAGATGCATACACACATTCCCACTGAAATCCAGGCGCTGAACTTGTTTTAAAACTCTTGAAACCACCTTCAGCCAAAGGACTATTCCAGCATTATAGTCAGTGCTTTCTCTTTTTTTTTTAGATAAATTTTTGGGGAGAGGTCAAAAGTTAAGGTAATTTATAAATATTACAAATGAATTTCCATTAGCTCTGGAGAGGCTGTGGCTGCTCCTCAGTGCTCAGCCTAGGAAGAATACTTCCCAAGGTCCTACAAACACTGCAATTCTCCAGGGATACCCTAGGGAGCTGTTTTGACAGCTTTGAAGTTTGGTTTTATCACATGGTTTAGTTCCTAATGGATTGCCTTGGTCTCCTGGATGGCATGTTTGTTCAACTTGCCTTCAACTCTGTTTATGCCTTTGTAAAACAGGTATTAAATGCAAGTCAATGCAAGCCAGAATGACAGGGGAGATGGGGAACATTTTTCCAGGCTCCCAAATAAGATTCTTGTTTCTATACCTAGATGAGAGTGCAAGTTGCTTGGTTGTACTACATATTACACATGTGTAAAGAGAAAAATAGTAAAAAGAAAAATAGTGCAACTTAAAGGCACATTTTCCCTCTTAGATCTGCCTAGCAGGTCTCACTTTTGATATTTGGAAACATCTACCTCACAGGGGCCTTGAGAGGGTGAACATCAGGGTCAAAAAGCCCCACATGGCTCAGAGAAAAGAACTTTTCCTTTCAGCAGGAAAGAAGAATAAGGTCATTGACGTATTAATGAATCTTGTAAACTGCCTTAATGAAGTTCTAGTTTTCTTTGCCTTTTTTTGAACTCTGTCACTCCATTATACGTGTAAATTTAATTTATTTGGAGTATATTAAATTTTCTTCTGCACTAGTTGCAGTAAGTAATAGTTAGAAGCTAAGAAAACAGAATTCCATTCCACTACTAGTAGAGAAACAAAAGTATATGTGCCAGCTCCCTTCACTGCACTGTCAGCAAAACAAAAATATTGTTACATTTACCAGTCCAAAATATAATTATATTAAATCTTTTCACATGCTTGAAAGTTCATATACATTTCCATGCCTCAGCAAAACAAGTGTAATCTGTCCAAGCAAGCACATACTGAACTTGAGGAAAACTCTAAATTTCACACAAAAAGTTAAGGGGGGGAGGGGACAACAATTCATTTCAAAATAGGCTCATGAAAACATTTGAACAATAAGGAAAAAAAAAAAATAGATAAGCTGTGCACAGATTTTTAACTTACCACAAGAGCAAAGTACACCATAAAGAAAAATGATAAACTACTTGTGTAGCCAAGAAAGCCTGTAAAATAACAGTAAAAATAAAAGAGAATTTATAAGGAAAGTGATCCTAATGTACAGCTAAAGCTTTACATTTTAGGCATGTTTTCTATTACAGTGCTTGGTATCTGGGGCTTAGGACTCAGAATAACAACATTCCAACTGCCTGTCACAGATCATTTATGTAGTTTTGTAGGGCAGAATTAGAACTGGCTTACCACTAATGGCATGCTGTAAGTAAATGCAGCTCTTTAATGTTCTGCTGTAAAGATTTTATTTTAGTATTGCAGACAAAATACTACTGCAACCCAAGTAATAGGTTAACTAGGCAGGGCTGGAAGGCAGAACACACTACAACAACTTAAGTAATCCCCACCATCACCAGCCCCCTGCCAGTTAAAATAAATAACTAACCCATTAAGTTTTTAAAGTCTTCAATTGTAATTGCTACTAAAGTAGAATAATATTTGCTTCTCTCCTTTAATTACTCACCAATTTTAGGAAGAAGCGCAAGAGGAAAAACAATGCAGACTGAAGTAATCAGTAGCAGCAGTCTCCCATCAAGGTACCAAGACCTGTTGGAAAATCTATTTACAATAGATACAAAACTCGAGTCCTAAAGAAATACGCTCTACTTCAAAACTGTGATCTTAGACAAAATAACTACTAGGACAAGAAAAATGAGTAATTTCCAGTCTCACATGCTATTGACATGAATTTGTATTCCTAGTTTCTACACTGCGATACAAACCAGAGCTCCCAGGTAAGGAGAAAGCAGAGCACCACCCTGTAACGAACCAGCACTGCAGGCAATGCTCCACAGGCAAGTGTCTGCATGCATCGGGGGCTGATGTATGTTAAGTTATTTCTCAGCAGCACAATACACAAATCTGCCTTTATTCAAAGCAATGATCCGAGCGCAAGGGTATTTCTTACTCTACAGATTTCCAATAGAAGTGCTTATTTAGTACGCTACATAGATCTTGGATTACACCAAGATGCATATTTATACAACTGGAAGAAACGGCAACATTAATTCTCACTTACTGCTGAAAACTTCCCTTCCAATTTATTACTCCTACACAGCTTTAGTTACTTACCATTTCCAAGAGGTGTGAAATAGAAAGCTCAGCTACTCAACCTATTTGTCTGAAAATTCAGTTATGTTTTCTAAACATACCAACTTTCTCTTCTGTCCAAGTTTCATTACATTTCATCACAGCATTTAACTAATCAAAGAAAACAGCAAGTAAATCAGCTTTCCATTAATTTGAAATTATGTTTGCTGTTCAGAGGTGATAAAAGAATGAAAAGCAATAACAAGGACTTTCTTATCTTTAACGTTGCACAAGGATCACTCATTCTTTGCATACATCCACACAATAATTAAAGGACAGAAGGGATGGAAATTATGATAATGAAACCTGGTATCATGCTTAAACATAAAACTAAACATATAAAAAAGCATTGTAGAGGCATACAAAGTCTTAATGCATTTAAAAATCTATTCAAAGTATCAAAATCTCATCTCCAAACTGAGGAAAGTACATATGGGTAAATTGTTAAGAAACAGAAACATCTTAAGGGTGGCTCCCCCTAACTTGGTAATAACCATATCCTGTACTGATAAACATCTTGCACATCAGCCTCTGACTTTACTACCTATAAACACCCTGGCCTTTGACCTTCAAGTTTATTTAGTCCAGGATATGGTTAGCACCTAATAAACAGGCAGCACCTCAAGATATCATAAGGAAAGTAGCATAACACCTGTGTTAAAGAAAAATTACCATAGACATATATTAGCTACTGTCATACATTGTGGACAATCACTTGTGTCACTCATTTGAAAAATTATGTAATATAAATGAACAGAGAAATTTCAAGGTTGAGGCCATCTTCACTCACCCTATCAAAACCAAAGTAACCCTTAAGTGACAAGGTTTATATCAAAAGTTACTCAAAATGCATCAGTCTTCAAAAAATATCTATTACTAGCCTAGGTCTGCTTCTGCTGCAATAAAAAAAAAAAAATTTGCCAAGATCAGCTCCCTGCTGTAGCCTTCTTCAGGTTGTTACCATTTAGCTTTCACATATTTTTAAACTTTTTCTTTCTTTTTAGTATGGTGGATGTTTGGATTCAGAGGAACAGTATCATAGCAGTAGGCAAAAGTATACCGAATACTGCACTGTATGTACATGTGGGACGTCTGTTCTAAGTCTTCCAATCCTAAGCATGCAGCAAATCCACAGTTGCCATTGTAGCTCAGCAGCTCAGTAGGACAGAGAAAAAATTATTTTGGTTACTTTACGGTAAATGAAACCATTTGGAGGGGGAAGATAGAGGAAAATGGCAATGAGTTGATGGGAAGGAGAAAAAATATTTTTGTAAACGGCTTAGTTTTGGAATACCAATTCTTTTATTTAAAAATATCTCAGAAAACTGAATAGTGGACCATTTACTGGTTATCAAAAAATGTGTCTACTTCTTTACTGTTGTAGAAACACACTTACTTTCCAAAGGCAGAATAAATGTTTTGATATTGCTTTTAAAATCAGTTTGTTCTGCAAATTTAATTCTATATGATAAAAGCATTCCAAATCTGAAATATGGAATATAAATCCTTGACTCTACTGAAAACGCTTTGGCATGCAGATGTTCCTCCTCCCTCCCCCCTATTTTAACTAAAAGCAGACATTTATAAATTGCTTTAATTTCATTCCTGAATGCAATGGGACAAGAGATTCATATGTTCTAAATTAGGATCCTACTCTCAGTCCATATCAATTATATAACACACAAGCAAGACAACTTAATTGCATCAATCATATCCTCCTGACAGGGTCATTAAATGTTAACAGAGGGCTCACGAATTACAACTTTTAAACACAATCCTCATTTGAAACTATGCTCATGTCATCAAAACTATGTGGAAATCCTGTTATGCAGACAGACTGAAACATCTCAACTCACAGTTAACAAGTGTTCATATTGTATGTTTTTGTTTTTTAATAAAGACACAAAGATGTATTACACACTGGCTCTGAGCCTTTCAAACACATGCACACCTGCTAACCTCGATCTATAAAAATAATTCAGTGCACAAACTATTCTTTAAATGGCTCTCAAATGTATGGCTTGGGAGGGTTTATGATCATAAAATGTTTTCACAGATAGTTTAAGTGACACTTTTGATACATTCTAACTACAGTTAAAGATAAATTGTGCACACAAATTGTATCAGATGCTATAATGACTTAGAACAGTTGTGCAACCACATCTGGAAACAAGTGGTCCAGTTAAAGGAGTTTACTCAAACTAGTCAATATTTATGTCCTTTGCACAAATAAGTTGCTACTTAGCTTGACATTTGATTAACTATTTTTGTGAAACAATTTTTGTGAAACAATTTGCTATGATTTAAAAACTCAGGAAAAAACCCTACTCTTAACATCTGCAAACAAATACACAGAAACAAGATTATTATCTCCCAAGGCAATTAGTATGGCAAAAATATATGAAATATCGATGTGGGTACACAGAGAAGGTCAGCTGTGTGCAGGCACCTGGAATACTGCTTGACCACGGCATCAGAAACATTTGCTTGGGCAAAGAACAGAGGACTCAAATTGTGTCAAATAGACATTTACCAATGGAAGAACTCCCAATAACAAGAGGCAGAAACAGGATGAGACCTGTGCTGACAATCAGCTTATCATTTGAGTTGTGCTTAGTATTCCTATGGGCAATTTCAGATCTTTCTAAAAGCAAAATTGAACTTCTTTCCTGTCTCAAAGTGTAATTTCAGTTTGGCAGTGCGCACCTAGAATTACAATGGCTCAGATGAGCTCTAATAACCAGTTCAGTCACTGTAACCTGTCTGCCTGTTCACCAGCGTTCACATCCAGAAGATCTGCATTAAGACCTTGATAAACAAAGCTGGTTGGAGCGTTCTCAAATAGGCATCTTAATAAAGAAGTTGTTTATAGGGCCTTTTCTAGGCAGAACAATCCTTTGAGCAGTATGCGTGCACACAGGACCTCCAGATTCTACCTGTTATGAGTTTTCATAAGGTGTATCTTTGTTGGGAAAAGTCACTTTGTGTAAGCAGATCTGACATAAAATTAAGAACAGCAGTAAGTGATGTTATACGCTAAATTTGGGGACAGACTGGAACACACACGCAGCAGATACAGTAGCAGGCTCACCACCACTGCGGATGAAGAGTGGAGTTAGAAGCATGATCTTAAAGGAAAAGTGATAGCACCCAAATGAAAAGCTGATGACTACCACAGCTGCAAGAGATACAGCAGCAGACTAAAAGTGACAAATACACACAAAACATAATAGTTACAAAAAAACCCAACAACAACAAAAAAAGCCTGTTACTAAAAACATATTATTGCAAGGGTCAGGAGGGCAGAATGACAGACTGTAAGATTACCACCACACTTCATTTATCAAAGTGTTCTTTATAAAATGGAATGACAAAATATAAGATGAACTGAAGTACCTTTTAAAAAAATAATTACAAACTTAAAATTCACCCACAACATTCAGGAATAATACATGCATCACACGGCCTTGAGACAATTTCACCACATTTTAATCCACAGAAAGCGTTGAGCTCAAAACATCTGAAAACAGCAGTTTGGAAAAACAGCCGTAACACAATCTCAGATACACTGTTATGAATGACAGCAGCACTGGAACAACTCAAACAAGATACTCGGTGCTGAAGCTGCAACGTTTGTCTTAGCACAGGCAGAGATTTCTTGCGACAGTTCTGATAGAATTCTGAGGCATTCGCTCCTTACACACAACTTTATAGCTCAATTGCAAAGAACAATTTCTTTACTGGGAGCCAAGTTAAGGAATTATAAACCAAGTCTGGAAACCTGGCATTTTTCCCAAGACAAGTCCAATTACTGAAGCAAGACAACAAAATGTTTAAATTTAAATATCTGCCAGTTTTTGTACTGTGGTTTTGAAATATGTGAAGTGATAACATGTCAGCAGTTTAAATGTTTCTCCTCCTCTCCCTCCTGTCCCCTCCTGCTTCCCCTTTTAAATTTTTACAGAAGGGAGATTTCTGTAGATGGAGTTTTGCCACTGACTTTAAGGTCGGATGGGAAATTGCTACGAGGAAAGAATCATGCTCTGTGTGTGTGTCCTGAAGAAGGCTTGCACATGCCAAACACATTTCATATTCCAAGAACTCCTGTAAATAACTAATTTTTTTAGCATGTGAGACTGGAGGGAAATATCAGTACCCATCTCCTTCAGCTGTCCTGAACCACTTTCTTCAAGAGGAGTACAGAATGTATGAAGCATTTTTCCTTACCCACTCTCGTCTCCACTTAAGAATCCCGCAACAGCACCAGGAAGTTCAGACTTAACAATTAAAAGATAAGATGACATAGCTGCAAACAGAAGCAGAACAGATTTAGTAGAGGAACACCAGTGTCTCTGATTGTAACAATTAGCACGGCTTAACCAGAGTGGTTATGACTGGAACATCTCAGCTATATATTAGACACCATGGCACCAGAATCAGAATTTATTTTCTCATATACTTCCTTTAAAATTACCTGCAAATCCCTGAGTATTGTACTGATGTTAGCTAATGCCTCCAAAGAGATCATTACAATGTGAGTCTTGAAACAAGAAAAACATAATCCAAAGGACTAAAAAGCAAAACAATATAAAATATAGGCATGACCTTTTACCTGGAAATACAGACTTATAGGCTAGAGACAAACTACAAGGCCACAGCACTACTCCTTCCTCTTTACTCTTTATAGGACATTGTTAATGATAAGAGTAAATAATATGATTTGTTTCTATCAATACAACAGGGTTTTTTAAAGACTCAGTTTTTATTGTTGTTCAATAGCTGTCGTACTAAATAAATACATGACAAATTTAAAGACAGGAATTAGAATTGAAAGGTTTTTTTTTTATATACTGCATGGTTTGGCCATTGGAAGTAAGGGGATTATCAGTGACAGATCTCCGCTTCTCATGCTAAACCCACCACCAAGATCATCCCAACACCACCACCAAGTGCAAAACTATACAGGAACTGCAAATCAGAAGATAAATTGCTAGTTACTCTTATAGGAGTGTCAAGTTGAAATTAAGCATTTATAATTCTATTCAGAAGAAAGCAACGATGCATACACACAAATCCAAAAGCTACTTCATTGTATCACTTTTCTCTTTACTATATAAAATGAAAGGCATAAACAAAAGGGCTTTTTAATTACAACTTATACTAACCTAATACCTTCACATACTGTTTGTGTTGCTTTTTTCTTTTACATAAGCAGCAAGCACTTGTATAAATCAAAAGAACATCAGAGTTAAAAAAAAAAAAATAGCAAGCTTTACAAACAGCTTCAAGGAATATCAAAACCTATATGAAACTAATTTTCATCCTTCAGCAGCAAGTAATTTTAATAATGTGCTGACAAAAGTTTAAAATGTCACAAAAATTCATCTGTTCTATTCAAATTTTACTGTTCTATATTTAGTAATTATTTAGAATTTCACCATGCTGCACTTAATGTTTAAAAATTAAAACTTAATTTTAAAAATGTAAACCAGCAAACTTCCACAAGATGAATTTTTAATAAGTTTGTGGAGTTTTTTTCAAAAGGAATGTTTTGAACCATAAAAAAACCCATGTGGACTCAGACATTGTTGTATTACAGCAGTTAATGTTAAATTTTGAAGAAAGGTAATGTGGTCTCTATGTAAAGAAAGTGAATTCTATTAAACACAAAGTGACATCTACCTACCGCAAGGTTAAATTAAAACCATTTGGTAGGTCACTAAATAAGGAAATACTCACTTCTTATAATTAAAACCTCTGTTTTTTCCAATATGCAAGTATAGTTCCCTGTTGACATGTAGCTGTTGATTGTGTCTGGCAAGGTATTTATCTGCTGTCATGATTTTACTCTATTTGCATACAACAAAATGAAGATTCAACCACAGAGACCCTTGCTGTATAGAATATGCTGTAGCATGCATATTTCTAAATCACCAGAATTTGTAAGTAAATTAACATAATTTCTCATACTAAGCTACAGGCAGATGCACCCTAAGCAAAGACAGATTTTTAAAAAATTAAGCAGGAGGAGGGGAAGAAGGAAAATTCCTATAAATTATAGTTCAACTTCATTTATCCATTAGCCTTCTTTCTTGTATTATAAAATACTTTATAGACAAGCAAATCAAGTTTTTCATACGTTTATGTCCTTCAGAAAGATTTAAAAATTAGTTCTTTTGCAGCCTCAGCTGCAGAAAGCTTCAAATTAATTTCCAGATCAGATTTCCTCCTAATATGCAATCTGTCACTCTTCCCTTGCATTCCTATTAGCCTCTGGCTAATCATTTGATCACTTATCCTTTGTTGTGCGCTTACTCTTTGTTTTTAAAAGAGGAGTCCTATTTCACTGAATTCCACTCCCAAGTAGGGAACCAATCATGCACCAAGAAACTTGCACATGCTAAACATTTGTATGCATCTTTCTTCCTTTCTCTGGACATATGGGAAACAATCTCACATAGTAGGATTTTTTTTCCTCAGTTTATATTCTCTTATTTGTTTTCAGAAGATAAAAAAATATTTTTATTTTTGTATCCTGATGGTTAGATAAAACACGAATTCCATACATAAACCTGAGTAGGACACCCATGCTAAATACAGTTTTAAAAGTCAAATCCTGATTTTTCTTCACTTACAAACACAGTTGTAATTCTCCTCACAAGCAACAGCTCCTTGTGGCTTTATTCAGCATGAAAGAAGAGACACTAACCACTGTATAACTCTCTGAAACACACTACAAAGTGAGCAAAGAACATTTGTTTGTTTTTTTTAAAGCTAAAACCAAAACAGCAAATCATCTTCAAAAAGGGCAGAGTAACCTGAAAAAATTCTCTCGAGTAGGAATAAAGTGCATACAGTACGATAAACAAGTCATATATCCTTTGCTCCAAATAAGAAATTTTACTTAACTTCCCTGGCGCCCGTCACGATCGAAGCCATGCCAAGTTATATTGTAAAAATTAAATGTCAGCTACCCTTGGCAGTCTTAATGTACAACGGAAGGAAGAGATTACACTGTCACAATGCTCAACTGCGACATAAGTGAACACAACAAAAAGCATACCTTGTGCTTTGATTTATTCCACTTTGAAATACTGACTTCCTCTGTCATTTAGAAAATCATTTCAATGTTTTAATGGCTAACTTTTAAGGCACCTTTTATCATATGCAATAATTACAATGAACATACATTCATCTTTAGATGAACGTACTTTAAAAAAAAAAAAAACAAAAACCACCCAGCGTCAAAAGCAACGTTCCCCTCAGAGTTCACCCCCCTTGCATGCACACAGTATGAGAGCGCAGAACTTACAGCTCTTGCAATCCAGTCTCACTCCCTAAATTAAGTGTTATGTTTTCTTGGTCTCAGCTTCTCTTTGCAACATGAGACATCTATCTTTAGCACTGCATGAGACAGATTTCCTGCAGAACTAATGGTGTACAATGATGTAGTTTGAGGCTTTAGCAATATGCCAATGCAACAAGTGCTGAACTAAATGAGCAATCTTCATATGTTGCTTCCTTATTTTCAGGTCCTGAATTTGCATTACTATTTTTAAATAATTTTCAATATGCACTAAGAGCTACTTCATGGAGAACCAAGCAGGTCTGAACTTCTCAATGGGCCTTGACACAGAAATGCCATAAAACAGTATATAGCAGAAATTAAAATGATATTACTACTTTATTATTCAACAGGCTTACCCCTGTCTTGAAAGCAGCAAGAAATTATAATCTTAAAATACAAATCACTTTGCCATGTTCTAAAAACTTGGTATTAGCTCTTTAACAGAAAAAAAAAAAAAAGTTTGTTAAAATATGAAATAAGCTATTTCCTTTACACTTCATTATAATTTGTAGCCAACATGAGATATGACTCTATAAATATATTGTGCATACATTATTCAGAATGTCCTTATTGTGCTAAAATATTGTTTAATACTGAGCATATGTGCCCCTGCCTGAGAAAACGTTAGTGCTGGAAAAAATAGGAAGCCAAGGCTATGTTTTTAAAATAGTCCCAAACTACCTTTTCTGAGGTAGTCCAATCTTAAAATCAAATATGTGAGGGGCTTTTGGGTTACCAGGAAAAGAAGTGTAACTTTTTCTTATTATCCTACCCAAAAAAGGATCAATTGCTTAAGTCCACAGCAATGATGCAAGAGAGTATGTACGTTAAACTTAGGTGTAAACATATAATTTATTCCTTCCTTAGAAAACGGGTGGTGATAAATCCCTTCAAATCATTTAATTGAAGAGACTGAATCTAACTCTTTGGTTAGTTTTTCCTCATCTACCACAGTAGCTGATCATATTAGAGCGCTATAAAGACGTCTCACGTTATTAAGCGCTACTCAAAATGGAACCAAGCTATCCTCCAAACTTCACACGGAAGAGACAGGGGGCTGGGGAAAAGCAGACTATCTATACAGCCGCACTAGCACTTCAGCTCCCACTTAAAAGAAAAGAGATGCTGATCTGTGAGTCAGGACAAGTAGATAGAGCAATCTTGATCCTCATCTGGGGAATACCAGATAAGACAGATTCCTCAACAAATGCCTACAGATAATTAAAGCACATGAAAATGCTTGTAACTCTCAACCTGTAAAGAGTTCAGTCAGTAAGATCCCTGTTTTACCCAAAATACTGAGAAGATTAGAGGCTGAAAGACAGAAATAACAGAATAAACACTACCAGTCAACTGCACACTCCAGCCCAACCAAGCTGGATTTTTCATAGCAACTGCATGTGACAAACCCCTCTGGGCTTGTGTCTCCCTTTGCTGGTATGGAGGTTGTTTATAATTGAATCTGTCCTAATCCAAACAACATGACAAAGTTAAAAAGGAAAGCGGGGAAAGATTTCAAGAAAAAAATTGAAACTATAGAGGATTTTGGGCAAGCTCTCATTTTTCCTGTCAAAGAATTAGAATGGAATAGCAAGATAGGAAGTACTTCAGTGTTGCACTGAGCTCCTCCTAAGTAATTCGAACTGTGGAAACATCAGGAATGATGCACGGATGCCGCTGAAAACCATCAACTATTTCAGTCCTCACATCATAGGGCCTGAAGAGCATGCTCTTTCGTTTTCATTTTGCAATGAATCCCCCACATACTCGATTTTAAGAAGTCTCCCAATTATTTGATGCATTGTTTTTAGTATTTCTTCTTCGAGAAAGCTTAAAAACTGAAAAAAATTGTTGGGATCATTTGTCTGCTTTTAAATGCAGATTGGAGATGTAACACTTGTGCATATGGAGAAATTCTGAGAACAGAAATAAGTTGTCAACTTTTTCGCTAGTCTTCA